ATTCAATAAATATTTGGGTACCTTATTATATAATGTAGAGGGCATAGGCCAGCGTCATATGCCTTCCTCAATCATTATTTCGCTTTCCTGTTTTTAGACAGGATCTCTCACTGTATTTGTAGCTCACCAGTTGTCTACACTGGATAGTCAGCAAGCTCCAGGGATCCTTCTGTTTTTTCTCTCTCCCATGGTGACATTTAAGTGTGAGATACTGTCCCACAATTATTCTGTGGGTGTTGGAAATCTAAACATAGGTCCTTAAGCTTTTGGGCAATCATTTCACCAACAGATCCACTTCCCCAGCCCCCAAGTCAATAATGTTTAAAGTTTATTTCAGCCCCCGGTTGATTTTGTAATTCTGAAGCCAATGCATAGTGTATGTGGAGCCTCTGGACATTTTGCCTCAGCTTTTCTGGGTTATCCTTCATGATACATCAAGGAAACTACAGCAATGAAACAGTCATCAGGAATATAACATACAAAGAAAACATCCATCAAGTGAAAAAAATATTGCTTAATATCAACCCAATAACTTCTGGAGTACTAGGCATTCTCTGGTTCTAACATTTGCTGAGTATTTCACAAGTATTTGTTGGGCATCACATAGTCCCATGCCCTGTGTCTGATGCTGGCTGCCCAGAAAGGAACATATTCTCATTTTGTTAAATACACACCAATCTCATTTTTCAAAATGTACCCAGAAACCAGCTCTCTAGCACTGCCCCTGCTAGCTCACCTAATGCAGCAGGCAGCAAGGAGGCTGGCCTGTTCTCCTGCTCTCATGTTCTTGGGGCAAGCTCATCCACACCTCCCCCAACAGGGCCAGCTGTATGGTGTCTCCTAGGTGAAGTTCAAGGCCCATTCTCCCGAGTGACACAGCTGGTACGGGGCAAGGTCAGTTCTCCTGCTCTCATGTTCCTGAGGCCAGCTCTCCCATCTGCCACAGGTGATGGGGGAAGGGAGTGGGTTCCCTCACCCATGCCACCACCACCACATGGCAGACCAGGTGGGGCTGGGTCAGCTTTCCCCCTCTGAGCTGCCCAGGCAAGGTGCAAGGCCTGCTCTCTTAAGTGCTGCAGCTGGTTAGGGGCAGGGCCAGCTTTCCCACTCTCATGGCTCCAGGGCCAGCTCTCCCATCTGCTGCAGCTGGCAAGGGGCAAGGGGAAAAAGCTCTGCATGACAAACAAATAGTGGGGCAAGCTCTCCCATGCTCATACCCTAGAGGCCTGCTCACCCATCCATACCTCTGCCAACATGGTCAGCCCTATTGTACTATCCAGGCAAAGTGCAGGGCTCGCTCTCCCCCATGTGCTACAGCTGGTGAGGAGCAGGGAAATCTGGCCATTTTAAATGAGAATTCCTTGTTACCTGAGGCACTTATGTACTGGAGGAAACACACAGTGTAACAGTTAGGGAAGGAGGCTGTGCAGTCACCCAGCCGAAACTTTTTTCTCAGATATATCTATTCTATACACTGGAGAGATCTACTTGTTTATTTCAGACGAGTCTTATTCTCTGCATCCACAAAAATCAAGGCAATGTCACCTACTTCCAGGTTGCTGTAAGCAAAATCAAATAAAGTCGCGCCCCTGCTGCCCCCCCTCCCCCCCCGCCAAAGTTCCAGAGCTACAGAGAGAGGCAAGGCTCAGATGCAGGTACAAAGAACCTGGCTTCAGATCCCACGCTCTGGACTTTTAGCTATGCTGCCTATTCAATAAAGCACCAACATGTTTTACCCACCTCAGTACTATTTTATTACAAATTAAACTTTCTTTAGTTCTATAAATTTTTGTGTATTTTGAGTGGGTTGTAGTGGCGTATGCCTATATCCTCAGAACTTAGGAGGCAGAGACAGAATAACACCAACGGAAACTTGGGTTTTCCCATGTTTATCAATCTCAACGGAAATTCAGAAAGTGGGAATACCTTAAGAATACATACATAACCGTGCGAGCACACACAAGCCCTTCACAGATTCAAATCAGACACAATGCCAGTGCTGAGAAGGGGAGGTAGCATAAAGTCTTGTCCCTAACCCAGAAGCTGCTTACAACTGCTACCTGCTGCGGAAGGAGTATTAGTTTTCTCCAAATGGCCCACTGTTCAGGAGTAATTGGTCAACTTAAAATAGACTCTACGTGTTTGTTTGTTTGTTTTATGTTTGTGTGGAGAGAGACAGAGAGACAGAGAGAGAGAGAGAGAGAGAGAGAGAGACAGACAGACAGACAGACAGACAGACAGACAGACAGACAGACATAAAGAGACAGACTTTTTTTAAAGTTTGTTTTAACTTTTATTTTCTTTGAGAGAAAGAAAAGGAACATGAAGTTGGGTGGGTAGGAAGGTGAGAAGGATCTTGGAGGACTTGGGGAAGGAAATAATAATATGATCAAAATGTATGAGAAATTTTTTAATAAAAATAAATATAAATCATAGCCCTGTGGTGGTGGTGCTCACTTTTAATCCCAGCACTCGGGAGGCAGAGGCAGGCTGATCTGTGTGAGTTCGAGCCCAGCCTGGTCTAAAAGAGCTGGTTCCAGGACAGCCTCCAAAGCCACAAAGAAACCCTG